GTGTGTGTGCGCCGCCATCCCCCCCCCTTGGCCCAGCCAAGACCTGGGCTATGGAGACCGGCCCAGGTCTCAAAAAGGTTGCCGGTCCCTGGTTTAGATTTTATATCTTTTTTATATTGTTTATTATGTTTTCAGTTGCAGTGTACAAAGCACAGAGAAATCTCTTTTAGGGGTGTGCATTACACATAATCTTATGGTGTTGATGGAAAAGGCCAAGAAAGTTTTTTTTTAAATGGGTATGGGTATGCTAAATCAAGTCGAGAATAATTTTAAAAATAAGAGGGATAGTCATTAGGAAACAACAATGAGAGAGCTAAAGAAGATCCAAAAGTTATCTAGTCTGATCTCTTGCTTCCAGATAAGGTATCTTCTTACCAGCCTGATCCAAAATTCAGCATCCCATAAGCAGAGCAGGCACATGCTCCTATACAAAGGACCCTACCTTTTTAAAAGACCCAGCCCAGGGTTGCTGTTGTTGTGTGCCTTCAAGTTGTTTCCGACTTGTGACAACCCTAAGGCAACCCTGTCATGCCAAGTTTCTTTAGAGGGGGTTTGCCATTGCCATCCTCTAAGGCTGAGAGAGTGTGACTTGCCCAAGGTCATCCAGTAGGTTTTCATGGCTGAGCTGGGATTCAAACCCTGGTCTCTGGAGTCCTAGTCCAGTGTTCAACCCCCTACACCATGCCAGCTCTCTGTAGCCCAAATGCACCTAACCTGGTCTTGTTTAATGCAAAACAGGCATCAAGAAGAAGAAACCAGTTTGACTGTCTGAGTTGTTTTGATCTTTGTCCCACCCCACATGCTTTAATTTGTTTTATTTTACTTTTTCATGTTTATCCCCATTTGCCAGGATGTCCAGCAATCAGCCTGCTTCTGTGCATTTGCCAGAAATAACTTACTCACTGTTTATTAGCTGGGATTTCCTGCTAGCGAGGCCCATCCTTCTTTCCTTCTGTTCTCCCTCATTATCCCATCATTTTTCTCTGTCTTTTCAAATTAAATACACCCAGGGCCTAAATACGCTAAAAGCAACTGATCCCATCAGATTTTGGAAGCTAAACAGGGTTAGCCCTGCTTAGTACACTGAGCCTTCTGTATCCACGGACTATTATTTTTTAATTAAATTTTTATTGAGTTTTTACAATAAAACATACATAGTCTGAACGACAAAAGCAACAACAACTGATAACATGGGCGAAGGGTGTGTATCTGATAATCAATTATCGTGCAGCAGAATCAAGAAATTAGTTCTCAGGAAGAACCAGAAAGTCTGTCTTATCCAGCTGTAGAGTGTCTTTCCAGAGATCTAGCCATGAAGTAGGAGGTTGGAGTTGATGGTGTTAGGAAGGATCTAATCAGGGAAATTTATAATTAGCTCAAAATATGCAAGAGTGGGGTCCTAACAAAGCCCCGTGGGACCCTGTACTGTTATGTATACCAGAGGACTAAGAGATCTTTCAATGGAAGATGCAGAGATGGGCTTCTCCAATTAAAGTCTAAATATTTATCCATGTGTCCAAATATAGCACAAACACACACGCAACACACTCCAGAAGGAAAGATGGGTGAAAGCAGGGATAGTTTGAGAGGAACTAGGCTGAGAGGAAATATTTACTTCCAAAGGCTTCTCTGGTGATGATGGTGGTGATGGTGATGGAGCACGGCCGCCAAAATGGGGGGGGGGGGGGGGGGAGATGGCCACGGGAGCTAAATCAGAGTACAGACCAACATGGAGTCTGCATGCATTCTCAAGATAGCACATGGAGCCTAGAAATCCAAGGGTTCTTATAGGAAATTTCTGCTGTTGGATAAAGGCGTTGATGGTCTTAGCTTTGTTACCCTAGGTGTGAGCATGGTCTAAACAAAGCATTTGGTTTCGAAACTTTCAAGGAAGGGAGGCTAGAGAAAAGGGTGCAGTCAAATCTGATCACTGCCCCATCAAGTGTGAGACTCAAAACAAACAGGCACTATTATGTGTTTTTTCCAATATAATGGGTTTTCCCTTTTGGCAACTCCCAAACCTGTCTGGTAGGGAATTTTTCAACTGTCCTGGGCAGATCTTTCAGTGCCTACATGACCTGCCATATAGGAGATTATGGTTGACATCCCACAGAGGTCAGTCTGGGGTCATAGAAGGAACTCCACATGTGTCCAAAATTTTATGAAAAATCACATATGCTAACAATGGGAAATATTTATTTACATAATCAATAAAGATCATCCAGTCTCCCTGGAACTTTCTTTATCCAAGGATTAAAGCATCCACAGCTTGAAAATATTAAATAATTATATATAAATTCCAAAAAGCAAAAGGATTTTGCCATTTTATATAAGGGACACCATTTTACTATACCGTTGTATTAATGGGACATGAGCATCCACAGATTTAGTATTGATGGGGAGGTCCTGGAACCAAACCACCGTACGACAATACCAGGTGTTGTAGACTATATTTCAGAGGAAGGAACTGACAAAACCACCTCTGAGTATTCCTTGCCCTATGAAACTCATGGGGTTGCCATAAGTCGACAGGTTACTTGAAGGCACATACACATACATAGGTGAAATCCATCATAAGTCCTAAAGTTATCTCCTCTTTTGCTACTCGCTATAAGTTAATTTCAACATAACCAGACCAAATTACTTTTTTTAAGTCGGGGAGCTTCCGACTTCTAAAATTGGCTAGCTCAGTGAGGCTTCACCCCGGGATGGATTTGGCCGGCAGCATCACGGCTAAATTGGCGGCAATTTATGTCTGATAATATCTGGGGATATCCCAGATCCAGCATTGAAGCCGGCTTAATTTGGCAAGTGATAAGCTCCCATCTCTCCTTTTCTCTTGCATTTCTATCATGTTTCTCCCTCATAATGGAGCCCATTTGACTCATACAGTATACCACAAACAGACATAAGGACCTGTTGAAGTGCCACCGGTGTCCTAACATCTCTCTCATTGCCTACACACCTGAAATGCTCACATTTTTTCAACATGTTAGTTCATGCGGGAGGTGGTGGCTTTGTCCTTGCTCCTTTTTGTTTGTTAACCTCATGCCTTTGGTTTCAGCCTGAATTTTCTTCTACAACCGATTCATCTAACTCTGCTGCCTGGAGTTATCATTTGCACACCTCACAGATGCTTCAAAGAGCATTCCCCATCCTCCTGCTTCTCTGGGCCAAAGTGGTTTCATCCACATGGTATGAAGGTAAGTGCACTAACAGCCTCATGCAAGGATAAAAGAAAGGACTTATGATCCTGCGGTTTATTTCATCCATGATGGGAATCCCTGCGGATACTAAGGGACGACTGTACTTTGTGTATTGTTCAACTTATTTGATTATATTCTTTGACTTATTTGAGACGGGTTTTTAGACAACGCTCATCTTGTGTGTGTGTAATTTTTATATTAATTTTTACAGATTAAGTGACATTTATAACCCCCTAATTTCAATTCTTTTTTTCCTTATTTAGAAAGCAACATTCTGTTTTGGCGAAAGCTTCCCAGGGCCAACGTAGAGCAGTTTGTCTTCCTTTGTTGTCTGCCATGCCTGGATTAAGTAGGCAAAGCAGGTCTCTTCTGCACCACAGACTGCAGTCCCAGGAGACTCATGCCTCTAGCAAGATGCCTGCCTTAACAATACTTGCAGGGAGGAAAGAGCCAAACACAGTCTCAGGAGCTCATGTGTCTCCAATTAGTTGCTTCCAAAGTAACCCAGCATCACATTTGCTACCACTGCCAACCAGATAATCACAGGAAGCCCACAAGCAGGGCATAAGAGAAAAGATATTGTTTCTTGAGGCAAAGACAATATTCTCCCATGGCTAGACTGGCAGTTGAATTTTTCTTTCGTATTGATGATGGGACAGTGCCCTGCATTACACTTAAGGGAAAGCAGGGTAGAATGAAGAACAGGCCAAACGGCGCTTTCCTCCAACACCTTGCTGCGGCATCCCAGCCTCCGCTGCCTGTCTCACTTTGCTCTGGAGTAGCCTCTCCGAGATAGCAGAGAGAAGGAGTAGGGAAGGTGTGGTCTAAGGGCTGCAGATTTTGTACTGTATTGTGGTCTCCAGGGGCCACTAGAGTCCATTTAAAAAATAATTTAATATATTTTCGCCATAAGGTTCCCCCAAATTTCCACTAAAATTTCACAATAGTATAAGGAGATCTTAGCTCAATTGTGTTTATGGTTTGACAGCGGAGAGCTTTATTTGTTTGCCCCCCCCCCCTTCAATCTGCATCTGGATCAAGGGATGAATAAAGATAAGCTGAGGCTTTAAACAGTGGAGATTATCCCACCACTCTAATAACTCGGCTTATCTCTTCCAAACTGAAGTCTAATTCAGGAGGCAGCCGGGTCCTATCACAAGGGTTTTGCCACCGAAGCCACTGGGTGAGTCCAGCCTGGTACACTTCGACAGTCATTTTTTCAAGTCGGAAAGTTCCCAGTTTTGAAATAAGGCTGGCGAAGTGCACTGGGGACCCAGGCTGCAGCCGGGCTGGACTCTCCCGGAGGCTTCGCCAGCAAAATCCTTGCAATAGGACCTGGCTGCCTCCCAAATTAGACTTTGGTTCGGAACAGGTAAGCCGGGTTATTAGAGCGGAGGGATAATCTCCTGTGTCAGATTTAAGAGGCCAAGTAGCATTATCAAAACAGAGGGGTAGTTGTATTTTGAGGCACTTACATGTATACCTGGCATTGTCCCTACACTTTTGTTTGGGGAATAAAGCTGTCATTGGAGCAAACAAGACCTTTCCCCCACATGCCAAAAGCATGTTCTTGGGGTGGAAAAGTATCCAGACTGGGACTGCAAAGTGAACAAAGTTCAATCACCCTTCTCCGCCCCACACCTAGTCATGCTCCTGACAAAACTCAGCACCCCTCCAACTCTTCAGGGAGGAAAAATCTTGCTCCCAAGAGCCAATCCAAGGGAAAGGAGATTGTCGCACCCAATATAGCACTTTTAAATCACATTTAGATTTAAAAGTGGATGTTATTGCATGTGCTGGCGACCGGGTGAGTGCAACCTGGCTGCATCTTGGACCCTAGCCATGTTTATCCTGCTGATTTTCAAAAACATGAGTCTGCCGTTGTGAAAAGCCACAATATAAGCACAGCTGGGGTCCGAATGCAGCCCGGTTGCACTCTCCCGGCTGCCAGTGCGTGCGATAACATCCACTTTTAAATGTAAACACGACTGCTGTAAGTCACGTTATATTGGGTGCGATAATCTCCAAAGACATCACATCTGTACTTTGATTCTTAGGAAGCAGGGTCAGTAACTCCTGTTTTGAGGCCTTGGAAAATTGCTACCATTTGAATTCAGGGGTGTGAACATGTAGCCATACAGATGTTCTTGAACTATAGTTCTCATTACCCACAGACAACATATCCAATAATGAGGGATTATGGGAGTCGCTATCCAACAGCATCCCGAGGGCCACACATTCTCACCCCTGAGCTGGGTTGCTCAAAATAGTCTGACTCCTATAAGATATATTTATATCTGCTTTCTAACCATCTGTTGTCTGTCCACAGAACCATCCTCCAGACAAAAACACAGTCTGCCCGTAAAATGTCATGGTCAGGTTTCTTCTCTAAAGACCAAACATTGACAGAGAAGCTTAAAGAGATAAGCCACTAAAATGATTCACTCACACACATTGTCCTGGCAACTTCTGTGGCTGAATTG